AATGAGGGAAAGCCGAAAAATTTTCCTCTAAAATCAGAAACAAAAAGATGTTCATTATCATTGATTCCTGTTCACTATAGTTCTCAAAACATTAGCTAGAGAATCAGGCAAGAGAAAGAAAATGGATATATGTAGAAAAGAAAGAAGTCAAATTGTCATTATTTGAGCATGACATGATCCTTTAAATGACAAATCCAAAAATTTCTACCAAAACACTTCTAGAATTAATAAGAAAACTTAGGGGCTGGGGGTTTAGCTCAGCGGCAAAAGCGCCTGCCTGGCACGCGCAAGGTCGTGAGTTCGGTTCCCGGTACCGGAGAAAAACCAAAACCAAAAAAAAAAAAAAAAGAAAACTTAGTAGTGTACTAAGATATAAAATCAACTACAAAAATCAATAACATTCCATATATAATGTTCAATAATAATCTATACCAATAATGAACTCACCAAAAAAGAAACTAGGAAAAAAATACCATTCATAATAGCATCAAGAAAATTAAACACTTAAGAATTAATGTAACCAAGGAAGTGAAAGGTATCTACAACAAATATTACAGTATTCTGATGAAGGAGATGGAAGAGGACATCAGAAAATGGAAAGATATCACCTGTACCTGGATAGGCAGAACCAACATTGTCAAAATGTCCAAATTCCAAAACTGATCTATAAATTTAATGTAATCCCAATCAAAATACCAGTAGTGATCCTCACAGAACTAGAGGAAACAATCTTAATATTCGTATGGAGCCAGAAGAAACCCAGAACCACACAAGCAATCCTGGGTAACAAGAGCAAAGCAGGAGGCATCACAATTCTGGATTTCAAATTACATTACAAAGTTACAGTAATAAAATAGCATAGTTCTGGTATAAAAACAAACATGTGGATCAATGGAACAGAATGAAGGATGCAGAAACAACCTGAGACACAGCAGACACCTGATCTCCGACAAAGGGGCCAAAACAATATGGAGAAAAGATCACCTCTTTAGTAAATGATGCTAAGAAAACTGGCTATACAAATGCAGAAGACTGAAGCTAGATTCATATCTCTTACCATGTACTGAACTGAAATCAAAATGGATCAAAGACCTAAATATTAAAACAGAAACACTTAATTTCTTGGAAGGTAAAATAGGTGAAACTCTAAAAACATAGGAATAGGCAAGAATTTTTTGAACAGCATCCCAATGCACAAGATATAACATCAAGGTTCAACAAATAAGAGTATATCAAAATTTTAAACTTCTGCACAGAAAAGGAAACAACCAACAGACAACGTATAGAATTAAAAAATATTTTGCCAGTTCCACCTCAGACATAGGATGAATGTCTAGACTGTATAAAAACTGAAAAAAAATAAAAGAGCTAATCAAATAATGGGCAACTGAAATGAATAGACACTTACCAGAAGTAGAGGTATAAATGGCCAATAACCACATGAAAAAATGGACATCTCTGGCCATTAGAAAAATGCAAATGAAAATAACACTGAAATTTCATTTTACTCCACAAAGAATGGTCATTATCAAGAAATCAAATAACAATGAATGCTGGTGAGGCTATGGAGGAAAAGGAACCATTCTGCATTGGAGATGGGAAGATATACTAGTACAGCTACTATGGAAATCAGTATAGAGATTACTCAACAAACAAAATATTATACATTCCACTTGACCCAGCTATTAGCCTTCTAGGTAGCTTCTCAAAAGTGCAAAAGATACCATATTACAGTGATACAT